CTGCATGCGTCGTGTCGTTTTTGGGTTTACGGTGCGGGGGGGGGGGGGGGGGAAAGTCACTATTATCTGTGTCCATATTTGCTTTACTATTTTCTGTCTTGTCTCTTGTAGGCATCCATACAGTATCAGGCACAGCAGGCCTGTAGGGACTACTTTATATGATGGAGTACAGCTGAAGAATTACTGAGGTTGGAGTACTGCCCTTGTCAAATGATTCAGTGCTCACATTGGTCTTTGATTTTGCTGCTGCACACAACTCGCGGTGTGGACAGTCCTGCTGCTGACTAGTTTACGATGTAAGGCACAGTATCCAGGGTGCATTTTAGTCTGACTGGGGTGTCATATGAAATACGGCAAGCTGTAGTATTACATCATATGGAAAAATGTGCCAAGGGGATGGGTTACTTGGTACATTTGATTGCTCTGAAACCAGAGTTCCTTCAGTAGTTTGTCACCAGGACAAAAGATGGGGGAAGGGTTCCTTCCTGTGGAAGAGTTCAGGACAAGGACTTTAAGGTTTTAGTGGTATCTACATAAAAGTCCTGTGACTTCCAGATACAAGTGTAGACAGTCACTGCCTGTGACATGCCAAGTTCTTTGGGAACTATGTTTGGCTCAAATCCATTCATGTACAAATCTCTCTGGTCCCTATGTGGAGGAGAAAGTACTGCAAAAACCAGCATGAAAGATCCCTGTCAGCTGGGACTCACTGGAATGCCTAAGCAGGACTCACAGACTGGAAAATAAGTTTCTGTTCCTCTTTTAACAAATACACTGTAGCCATATCTGACATAGATATTTTTTTGGTGTGTCTATCAGCTTGAGGAGTCCCAGGCTGCTTGCAACTGCCCCGCGCCACTTCATTCTGGTCTGTTGTACTGGCTCAATTGTTTGTGCAGCAAAATGATTCTGCTGGAGGCAGGGAAGACTATATATTTGTAATTTTTGTGTGTGCATATATATATAATATTTATAAATTTGTTTAAGTAGCGTGCTGTTTTTCAGCTGGATCAATTACCTTGTTCATGACACGGCCTCCCACGCAGGTCTGCCCGCCATACTGGGGAGCCAAGGCCCTGGGAGGATGAGCGCAGCCTCCAAACGCCCGGACTTGCAGTGATTGCGGAGAGGAGGGAGCGGGTCTGAAATGGAAATGAGAGCGTGTCAGAACCCCTTGCTGCTTATTCACACCTCTGAGATTATTACTGTGCGTGTCCCTTCATGGAGAGTTCTGTGGCCTTCAGAATTGCTGTTGGATTTTCTAACTTGAGAGGGGATGCCGGGCTAATTAGCTAACTTAATCGAAGTATGCTGTGTGTATATATATATATATCATGGTAGTATATGGTGGTTGTGGCTGCATTAAGAATATTTTAATATATATATTCCCCCCCATGCGGTTAACTTCATGAGAAGTTTTTAAAATCTGTTGTCAAGCAATGATATTGGCATCTAGAATCAGGCTGCCCTGTCTATCAGAAATGTAGGAGATTTGTCCTTCGTTAGTGAATGGGGTAAATTACTGTCTGTTAACTCTGCAGTATTGCAGGGTGAGAGTTTGCTTCTGGGCAATTACTGCGAGGCTACTGACACATGGCGGTGCCATCTTGTGATGGTTTAACTCTGTTTCAGAGCTCTGTTGTTCCTAAAAGCGGAGCAGGATAAACCAGCCTGATTGTGGGGTGTTGCTCAGCTTCATTTAGTTATAGTGAGTTTTTTAGCCTGACTTCTGAAGGAAATTAATCACGCCATCTTTCTGACCTTACCCCCATAAATCTTGAGCCTCTTTGGCCACTATGAGGAAAAGACGATAAAATCTGAGAGAACTTTCATATAAATAGGTGCCCAGGACAGGACTATTCCAGTTCCCTCCCAGGGAGACGATGCAGTGCAAGTTTGTTAGACTTCAGAAAATTCATGTAGGAGAAACATGTTATGAATTCATGGAGTACAGAAAAGCTATACGCAGAGCTTGTACCCTATAGTGAGCCGAAGAGGAAAGTTGTAGGAAACAAGACCTTGTTGCTGACAGTGGTCGTGGAAGTAGCTGGTTTTGTTTTCCTTACGGCTTGTGATGCTCCCAGCATCACACCATCAAGCTGTAGCAACTCTTTAGTAACCAAATTGAAAGGCTTTTAGGAATGCCAACCTGAAACACTCCTGCAGGCGGCTGGTGAGGCTGCATAGCCTAGGGAGCAGTCAGGCTCCATTTTGGATGCCTCACTGTTGCTATTCTGAGTTGCTCTACACTGCACAGTGCTGCTTAACTTCCTGCTGTTTTCTAGCTACTTAGATGATCCGTCCTCGGCTTTTTTTAAACCAGCTGCTTTTCTGGCATGCTTCCTTTCTGTCAGGAGAGCGCACAGTAACAAAGCCACGTTTTATTCTCTGGTGGGGGGTGGCTTTCTGTAAGTACGTTAGAGCCCAGTGCCAGGAGAAGGCAATGGTCAACTGCTGCAAAGGAGCCAGCCTTTTTCTCTGCTCCGAACCGTAACTGTGTAACTCTGAGACATTCTGTGGCAAAATCTGGGGGGAAGTTTGGGTTAGGATTGAAACAGAAAGATAACTAGCCTGCTCCTTTACTAATTGAAAAACAAAACAGCAACCAAATTGCCTTCTCTGCTGCCTGTTAGACGCCTCTTTGACACACATGCCATTCTTGTAGTTCCCCGCTAACTGCTGCTGCTCGCTGTTTTTCCGTGAATTGCTTGCTCCTAGGTGGAAACCCAGTCATTTGCAAAATATGAGGTAATATGTTTTGAGTTGTAAGCAAAAGAAAGAAGCTTGATTTT